GAGAGGAGCCGCGGGGGAAACGAGCTCGCCCGTTTTGGGCAGCCCCGTACCGGCGCAGGAGAAACTGTGCGGTGTTGCGGTGCAGCCGGTGTTGAGGCATTGCCTGTCTTCGCGCATTGGCGTTTAAGTCCGGTGCCCTAGGCGGCCTTGATTTGCTGTAATTTACAATATGAAGTCCAAAACCCAATTAAAAACTAATTAACATAAACAAACACACTATATTAGGCTTTAAGAACCGCACAGAGGAGCAAGATAGTCTCGATGTGCAGATGTTTAAATGGGCTGGGCTAACACAGCAGCTGTCCGACAGCAATGGAGTGCACCATTAAATCCCAGATCTTACTGGTCTGAGCCCGTTTTCTCATCCTTTTTTTTTTTTTTTTGCTCCTTGTCTTTCAGATTATGTCATAACTACAAGATAAACGAGCAGTGATGGAATCACTGGACACCGAGGTGAGAGCACGGAAGACTCTGGGGACTGTTGAATATGTAGAGTCTTCGGGTTTCACCCAGGGAATACTGCCAACCAAGAAGGATGTGGTTCAGAATATGCTGTATTTATTGCAGCCCAAGAGAGCTGGCCAGGCCCAGCGGTCCAAAGAGGATGCGGCCCAGTTGCTCGCTGAGCACCTGCAAGAGCACTGGTTGGTTTGCAACTTGCACACCATCGCGACGCAAAATATAAAGAAACTTATCCTCAAAATGTACGAGGAGTTTACCAGATTGTATCAGACCAGAAAGCAGAGACAGAACCAAGCTTTTACCGAGCGAGCAGACAAATTCAATGAGACTTCGGAGAAGCTCTTTGACGTATTTTGTACAGACACACAGACGAGAAATAAACTGGAGGAATACAGTGGAATAAAAATGACTAGCATCGAGTGGAAATTTCTTGAAGATCAAAGAAGCGAAAGAAAAATGTACTATGAAGATTTCACAGACAAGCAAGAATTGAAGATGATGGAAAGACGACAAAAGATACAGTGTCTGGAGCACTTCAGAAAACTTGCCAAGGAGGAGAAGGAAGGAAACAAAGCAAAGGAAATGAAATATAAAAATGACGAGCAATCAGACGAAGGCACGAGCGTGGATGAATCCTACCCCGCGGAGGAGGAGAACGGCGGGGCTCCGGCCTTTTCACTGCGGGGCAGAAGGAAGCGCCGGTGCACCGCGATTTCTGCAAGCACCGCCATGCCCTTGGAGTGCCAGCATATACGGATGAGCATCAGGAGAGTTAGGCCTGGGTTCTATGAGACTGTGGAGAAGGTCGAAAACTGCTAGCGCACGTCGCGGTCAGCAGGCAGAGCTGCTGGAGTATGAGGTGGCAATGCACACGTTAGGCAAGTTTGAAATCCCACCATCAATTGGAAGTGATTGTTGTAGATCCCCAAGCCAGAGCTCAGGAACATCCTGCCTCCGGGGAAGACCACTGGGATGACAACAGCGGCAAGGACTAAAACACGTGAATTTGGAAGGATGCGTAGTCAGCAGCTGATGATGTGAAGGCTCAAACATAGCAGATGATCTAAAGTTACGTAGCGTATAAGCCTCTTCTTTCAAGGTCCTGTCCACATCAGTGGGTTTTTGGAAGTCTCTCACCCATTTCTGAGCCAGTGGTGGCCTAACAGTACGAAACAGGACTCTGATTTACTGCAGGGAAATAACTTGGACTTGTTGCCAATAGAAAATTTTTGTGCTGAAAAGCCCCAACTCCTGCTGGTTTCGGTGAGAGTGAAAGGTGCCTGGCCCCTTTCAGCAGAATTTGGCATTTCTGCGAGGAAGGAAGCTGGTTTTCAGCTTGTATTACCCAGTCCCGGAGAGGCACCCTGCGGTTTCGTGGAGGGATTGCTCTCTTGCTTGAGGAGGGGGAGAGAGAGATCAGGAGACATTTGAATGCTTTGGCTGTAAAAGCATTGTTGATTCTGAATGTTTTATTCTAGATTCTATTTTAACGACGTTTCCTTGACCAGGATAAACCTTCCCATAATTGGATGAGTTTAACGTGAAGTCCCTAATCTAGGATCTGAGGTGTGAATCCTAAATGAAGTGGTAATGTTTTATCTTCTGGGGGGATAAGGTAGGGGGAAGGATGCCAGTTGCGTTATTTAGTTTTAAGATGGGGAGAATTTTATAAACTGTTATCCTGCCTTCTCAGGATATAGGGAAGAAAAAGCCTTCCCAGGTGTGGGTAGCTGTGGTATTTACAGCAAAAGGCACCTGAATCTGGGCTTGTTTTTCCACGCCCCGAGGTCCCTGCAGACCGGCAGGGTGGAAACGGTAGTTTTCCACCCAGAGTTTGCTTGAACAAAGTGTAACCCTCTTGCCCACGTACATCCTGAGCAGTGACGTGTCTGTGATTTTAGATACCCGCAGTACAAGGGTGTCTGCCGTTTTTAGTTAGAGTTGCTTTACTGGTTTTTAAAGATGAGAGACTTGGAACTTTCAGTGAAACCCAGTGCTGGAGATCTCTCTGGTGAGATTTCCAAACCTTGCCAGACTGCACTGAAAATTAAAAGCCCCAAGTCTCTATTTGTCCGCAGAAGTTCTCTGGTAGAAAGAGTGCAAACTTGCCTGGTTTTCAAATTTACCTTTCAGTGTGAATGTTGGTTTCCCCACTCCAGTATCTCAGCTTTTCCCCCGTTTCTTTCCTCTCCGTCCTGCACATCATTTTACTGACATTAACTCGTGCTGTTTCATTCTTTGGCTTTTGCTCCCTTTAACAATAAATGCATGTACGAATAATTTTGACAGTTCCTTTACTTCTGACGAATCAGTTCTTGGACTGCTTTGAAGTCCTATGCCAAAGGAGGAATGAAACGCAAACGAGCCGCTGGTCCGACTGGGACGCAGCAGAGCTAGCGAGCGCAAGAGGCGGTGGCAGCCCCGGCCTTGCTGCTCAGGCAGCCTCTGGC